CCCAAAGCCAAGGGCCACCCTGCCCCGCGCCTGCAGCCCCCCCACTGCAGGGGTCCCGCAGGGTCGCTGGGAACAGGGGTGCCACCCCAGCACCCTGCCAGCCCCACAGGCACGGTGGGAGGGTGGCCGTGCCCCGGCTTTGGGCTCCCCATGCTCCCGCCTTGCGTCACATCTCTTATTTTGTTTCTTTTCCGTATTTTGGGGGGGAGACTTGGAGTTTTGGGACTTGAGGGAGGGACGCGGAGGGCACGGGGTGCACGGCAGGGTTGGGGTGCTGTGTCTCCATCGCTGCTGCGGCCCCACGCAACCAGTGCCAAGGGCTGGAGATGCTGCGGGGCCGGTGCCTGGGGTGGGCTCGGCCCCCTCGGGCCCCCCGTCCCACGTCCTGCCAGGGCACCCCGCTGGAGCCGGGGGTCTCCCCGGAGCGGGATGGTGCCCGGAGCGGGTCCCTGAGCTGGCTGCGGTGGTGGAGAGGTCCGTGAGGAACGGGGCTGGGGGGACGGGCACCATCCCACACTCCGGCAGACATTGGCCTCCTGAAACCCCTCCGGTGATGAGTTTTCCAGGGCTGAGCTCTCCCCAGCGCCCGCTGGGGTTTGTCCTTGTTCCTGTGCCCCTTGCACCAAGCCCAGAGCCAACCTGCCCCGCGCCTGCAGCCCCCCCACTGCAGGGGTCCCGCAGGGTCGCTGGGAACAGGGGTGCCCCCCCAGCACCCTGCCAGCCCCACAGGCACGGTGGGAGGGTGGCCGTGCCCCGGCTTTGGGCTCCCCATGCTCCCGCCTTGCGTCACATCTCTTATTTTGTTTCTTTTCCGTATTTTGGGGGGGAGACTTGGAGTTTTGGGACTTGAGGGAGGGACGCGGAGGGCACGGGGTGCACGGCAGGGTTGGGGTGCTGTGTCTCCATCGCTGCTGCGGCCCCACGCAACCAGTGCCAAGGGCTGGAGATGCTGCGGGGCCGGTGCCTGGGGTGGGCTCGGCCCCCTCGGGCCCCCCGTCACCCTCCGCTCCCTCTCCCTGGGGCCGTTGGGGGTAGAAGCCCCGGGGGAGGCGGCGGCGGTGCGGGCACTCAGCGCCCGGCTGCTGGGGCTGGGCGCGGAGGCCGGGGGGGGCGCCCGCCCCCAAGACGCAATCCAGCACCGCTACAGCCGGTAGGCCCCGAGGGGGATGCCAGGTCCCCACCACGGGCCTCTGGGTGGGGGACGTCCTCTGTCCCCCTCACCGCCCCGGCAGCCCGCTGACGCCAAGTCCCCGCAGGAGCCTGCAGGCAGCCGGCTGGCCCCATGTTGCGCCCCACGGCCACCCCCAGCGGGATGCTGCGGCCACCGAGCACGGCACGTACGTGTGTGTGTGTGTCCCATGGGGACGGTCCCCTCCACCGGTGGGGTGACAGCCCCCCACTGCGTTGCGGGGACTGGGGCCACTGGCGATAGCTGACGCGGCGGCTTGCAGGAGCACCGAGGTGGAGTGGCCGGAGACGGGGCGGCTGGCGCTGTACCTGCTGGGGCTGCGGGCCACTTGTCCCCCGCCGGAGCCCGGTCCCCAGCGCTCACTGGTGACGTGGTTGAAGTACTACCTGGAGGAGGACTGGGCAGGTGAGAGCATGCCCATGGGGCGACTGTGGCGAGCACCCACTCTTGTGCCGGCAAGCCCAGCCACGGGGCTACTGGCTCACCCCGGTGACACGACACCTCATCCCCAGGGTCCCGGCGGCACGGCCACCCTCTCACCAGTTACTACCAGTATAGCCTGGGCGTGCTGGCGCTGTGCATCCACCATAAGCGGGTGCGGGAGGAGGTGATCCGCCGGCTCCTGGTGGCCGAGCAGCACGGCAGGTTTGGGCACGCCGGTGGCAGCGCTGCAGGTAATGGTCCCTGGGGACAGGCGGGGTGGTGGCGCCCCAGGGTGGGTGTGCGGCAGCCGCGGTGACACCGTGTCCCTGTGCAGACACGGAGGCGGTGGCGGTGCTGGCCTTCACCTGCCTGGAGCGGGAGCGGCTGGTGGGGGCCGGGCTGGTGGCGGAGCTGCGAGCGGCCACGCGTGGGGCGAGGAGGAGGATGGTCGAGGCGCAGGGCCAGGATGGCTTCTTCGGCAACGTCTACAGCACCCCGTGGGCCATGCAGGTGGGTGTCCCGTGCGGGGGGCCTCTGGGGTGGGGTGTGGGTGCAGGCACGGGTGGGAGTCGGGGTGCAGGTGTGGCTGCAGGCAGGGGCGGGGTTTTGGGTCACAGGTGTGAATGTGTGGGTGCAGGACTGGGTGCTCAGGTGTGGGTGTGGGCGCTGGCACGGCCGTGACCGCAGGCCTGGGTGCAGGCGCATGCTGGGTGCAAGCACGGGCACGGGTGCAGGCGTGGGTGTGAGCACAGATGGAGGTGCAGGCAGAAGCAGGGGTGCGGGTGCAGGCACAGGCATGGGTGCAGGTGTGGGTGCAGACGGGGGTGCAGGTGCAGCTGTAGGTACGGACGTGGGTGTGGGTGCAGCTGTAGTTGCAGATGTAGGTGCAGACGTGGGCGCGGGTGCAGGTGCGGGTGCCGGGGCAGAGGCAGCCGCCCCCGGGGCAGGGGCTGGGCAGGCAGGCGATGCTCAGCAGCAGCAGCGCAGTGCTCACGGCCCAGAGACCCCCACCCACCTCCCACCTCGAGCCGCTGCCCTACCACCTTCGTCCCTCCCGCTCCTAGGTCTTCATCGCCACCAACACATGCCAGACACAGCCTGCGTACGGCCGGGCCATGGCTGCGCTACTGGAGAACCTGGATGCCTTCACCACCGCCGCGACCATGGCCCAGGTGCTGCCGGTGCTGCACGGCCGGTCTTACTTGGACATTGCCTCCATGCACTGCTGGGAGGAGCCGGGTAGGAGCCAGGCTGGTGTGGGGAGACAGGAGGGAGCTGGGATGGGGTTGGCACAGATGCTGCCGCGGTGGCGGCTTGGTGTCCATCAGCGCCGTGGTGGCTTCTTGCAGACACGCTGACGCCCATCGGCCCCGAGCCACCACCCAAGATGCCGGGGAACAAGGTGGTGCAGCTGGTGGTGGAGTGCCACAAGCCGCGGTGTCCCCAGCGCCGGCTCTACGACCAGGTGGTGCCTGTGCCTGCTGGCGCCTCCCTCCTGGACGTGCTGAGGGTGGCCGCCGCGCAGGGACACCACAACTTCACGTACGTGGCCTCGTGCGCTGGGTTGGGGGGACCCTCAGGGGTCCCTGGGTGTCACACCCTGGGTGGCCACATGCCCTGCACCCGTGCTGTGGGCTCATCCCGTTCCCCACAGCCCGGCTCCCTTGGCAGCAGACCTGCCCCGCCGCCCTCACCCCCTCTCCTGCCCGCCAGGTTTGACACCCAGGACACCCCCCAGGGCCCCTTTCTGAGCAGGGTGCTGGGGCTGGAGGCCCAGCAGCAGAAGCGGAGCTACTGGCAGCTCCTCACCACCCCCAACACCAGCCTGCAGATGGGTGAGTGATGGGTGAGGGTCCCAGGGGAGGTGGCGGGGGCCCTGGGCAGCCCCCACGGCCGCTCTCCCACCCGGGCCTGCTGCCCCTCTCTCCGCAGGTGTCGCTGACTACAGACCCCGCGATGGGGAGACCCTCATCCTGCGCCTGACCGAGTGGTAGAGGGTGGGGGGGGGACAATGGCAATGAAACACCTGCCTTGGGTGCAGGACCCGCCAGCTCCTTGCCTCCTGCTTTCCCTGCACCCTGTGTGCCAGCACCCCAAATCCACCTGGGGAGGAGGAGGCCGGGGGGACACACGATGCCCTGTGTCCTACGGGCACGGTGGGCTGGGAGCACCCAGACCAGCAGCTCCTCCAGTCCTGGGCCTGCTCGGGGATGGGGCAGGCAGCTGCTGGGAGCAGCTGGTTTTGGGGTGCCCAAAGCAGCTGGTTTTGGGGAGTCTGAGCCAGTGCTGCTCATCCCCGGCAAGCTGCCAGCCTGGCTGTCCTCCTCTGTAACCCTCTGGGGGGGGGACCCCAGCCCTCCCCACAGAGCCCCCACCCACCCTGAGGGCTTGGGGACCGCAGTGGCCCCAGTGCCATGTGCAGCCCAAGATGGACCCCCTGGGTGTGTCCCAGATGTGCGTGATCCCCCCCCCAGGATTTAATCCTACCCCAAAAAACACCCAGGGGCAGCCGGCAGTGAACGGCGCTGGGGGAGGTGGTGCCTGGGGTGGGGGGTGCTGCTGCAGTTTGGGGTCAGGGTGCCAATACCAGGGCGGGTGATGCTCCCGGGTCAGTGGTGGGGAGTGATGGCGCCTGCACCACCGCCCGGTGTGAGTCAGCCGGGGGCTCTGACGCAGCCCCACCACCACTGTCGCCATGGAGGCCGCCCGTGCTCCGGCTACCGCCCGCCCAGCCGCTCCGGCAGGGATGCATGGCTGCCGGTTCCCAGCAGGCCCTGCTGCACCAGGCGGCATCCCCGGGCGTGCACCCCTGCACGCACCCCCATACACCCATGCACCCCCGTACCCCCGTATCCCCGCACCCAGGCGGCCATGACGCGGTGGCGGCCCCACGGGGAGGAGCCTCCCTCCCTCCGCTCCCCGCCATCACCAAACTTTCCACTCGCTCCCGGCCACCGGTGCTGCCTCCCTCACACATGGCACCGGCACCCCGCGGCTGAGCCCTGCCACCACCCCCGGCGTGGGTGACGCCACCGCTGCTGCTGGCAGGAGCCGGGGACCTGCTACCGCCACTGCCAACACCACCGCCGACTCCCAGGGCTGGCAGCTTTCCGCACGGCACGGGAGGACGGGGCAGAGCGGAGAGTGGCAGCCGGGGGGAGCGGAGCCGGTGCCCATGTGCCTGCGGTCCCGGCGGGGAGATGAAGCAGCGATGACGGCCGGTGAGGGGACCCTCCGGCCCTGGAAACCTGACCCGGGGCAGGCGGGCGGGGGGCGGCCACCCCTGGGGCCGTCGCTGCCCCTGACCCTCACCGTCCTGGCCTGGCTGGGCACCGGCACCACCATGGCCGGCCTCAACAAATGGATCTTTGCCACCCACGGCTTCCGCTACCCGCTGCTGCTGTCGTCCCTGCACATGCTGTCGGGGGTGGCCGTGGGGTACCCGCTGGGCTGGGCGCGGGGACCATCACCTCCGGCCCCCCGGCCCCGTGCTAGGATCTACCTCCTCAGCCTCACCTTCTGCACCAGCGTGGCATTGGGCAACCTGGGCTTGAGCTACGTGCAGCTGGATGTGGCGCAGGCGGTGGCCACCACCACGCCGCTGGTCACCCTGCTGCTGTCGGGGCTGCTGGGGGGCCGGCGGCACCACCCTCTGCAGTATGCCGCCATGGGGCCCGTCTGCGCCGGGGCTGCCTGCAGCATCGCCGGCGGAGTCCGCTTCCACCAGCCCGGCTGCGGCTTCCTCCTGGCCGCCACCGTCCTCCGCGCCCTCAAGTCCATACAGCAGAGTAAGTGCCACCCGCCTGTCCCCGTCCTGCATGCCCGCTCTCCCTGCCCCGGCACGGCCCCCGGGGCACAGGGGTGCCACCCTGGTGCTGGTGCCACCCACTGCCCATCCTGGCACTGGTGCTGCTCCATTGCCACCCCAACCCTCGTGGCACTCTGGCTCCATTGCCACCCCAGCCCCAGTGCCAACCCCATGCCATCCACTCCCAGTGCCACCTGCTGCCCCCCTTGGCCCCGGTGCCACCCCAGCACCCCTTTAGCCCCAGAGCCACCACAATTCCAAGGCCACCCCATTGCCACCCTGGGCCTGGTATCACTCGCTGCAGCGTCACCCCAGCCTCAGCACCACCCCCTGCCCACCCTGTCCGTGATGCCACCCTCGTGTCACCCCAGCCCAAGTGCCACCCCCTGCCCACCCTGTCCCTGGTGCCACCCTCGTGTCACCCCAGCCCAAGTGCCACCCCCTGCCCACCCTGTCCCTGGTGCCACCCCAGTGCCACCCTTGCCCACCCAGCTGCACCCGCTCGGGGCTGTGCCGTGGTTCTGGCCCTGAGGTGACCCTGTTTTGTTGGGGACGAGCAAACACGCTGGTGTCCCTGCGGTGGCCCATGGGCACTGCTGGCTCCCAGTGACACTGTCCCATGTCCTGGGGCCATGCCAGGTGGCAGTGCCTTAGCCTGGCACGGGGACGCCCCGGCTGCCCCATCCCCATGGGCTCTCCCCTCCAGCACCATGGGTGGCCGGGTCCCCTGTGAGTCCCCATGCTGAGCAGCATGGTCCCCACACGCTGGGTCCCATGTCCCCTGGGGACTCCGGCAGCCGTGGTGCCGCCCGGGCTGCGATGTCCTTGGCAGGCAGTGGAGAGAAGCCGGCCGGATTGTTTTTCAGCTGGGAAGGGAGCGTTTCCTCCGGAGCTGGTGACTCAGGCGGGCACCGCGGGGGACGGGCTCTGGCATCCGAGTGCCAGGCGCACGCCCTGTGCCAGCTCCAAGGTCCCTGCGGGCACTGCTGGCAGCTGTACCAGGGGTGCTGTGGCCACCCGAGGGATGCCACTGCCCAGCACCCACCCTAGTCCCCTCGTCACCCATGGGACATGGAGAGCGGCCCTGGGGAGGTTGGAAGCTGCTCCCATTCCCCCATGGACACGGCATGTGCCCCCCTGTGCATGGCAGCTGGCCCAGCTGTGCCCGCTGTCCCTGGATGGCTCGGGGGGAACATGGGGACACAGAGGGGACAGGCCACGTGCCCAGAAATGTTGCTGCTGGCTGCAAAATCAGTGAAGAAAAGAGGACGGAGGGGTGGAAGCCACGTTTGGTCCAAAATGGGGTGGGGAAACTGCCCCATCCAACCCTGCCCTGTGGACCCCCAAACCAGGGCACTCCCAAACCGGGGCACCCCCTGAACCAGGACACCCCCAAACCAGGGCACCCCCAACCCCATGGGAGGGGCTACCACCCCCACTTCTCCTTTTCTGGTGACGTTTGGGATTTCTGAACTGCTTGGGCACCAAGTGGGTGCTCGTGTCTGTGCGTGCCCCTGTGAGTGCTGGGTGTCCCCGCTGGGAGGGTCCGGGTGTCCTGCTGACTGTCCCTATCCACCCTCCCCAGGTCTGCTGCTGCAGGAGGACCAGCTGGATGCCCTCTCCCTGCTCTGCCTGACCTCCCTGCCCAGTTTCTGCCTGCTCTTTGGGGCGGCCATGGCGCTGGAGGTGGGTCCCTCCTGGGAGGGCGTCCTGCGCTACAATGGCACCCTCTGGGCCTGTGTCCTGCTCAGCTGCCTGGGCTCCGTCCTCTACAACCTGGCCACCTTCTGCATCCTCTCCCTCACTTCTGCCCTCACTGTCCACGTCCTGGGCAACGTCACCGTGGTGGGCAACCTCCTGCTCTCCCGCCTCCTCTTTGGCAGCCACCTGAGCGGGCTCAGCTACCTGGGCATCGGGCTGATGCTGGCCGGGATGTTCATGTACCACCAGCCGGACCTCATTGCGGCACGCTGGACGGCACGGCTGGGACGGGGCCCCCCCAGGCGGGAGTAGGGCCCCCGCCGGGGATGGGGGCAGAGGGGAAGCTGGGGGCGAGCACAGCTCTGCGGTGCACAGGCTGCGTGCACGGGGCAGGGTGTGCGGGTGTGCATGGCTCTGCGGGCGCACGGGAGGGCTGGTGTGCGTGGTACTGTGCACACGGGTGTGCTGCTGTGCACGGCTCTGTGTGCACACAGATGTGCTGAGGTGCATGGTACAATGCACACGGGTGTGCTGCTGTGCACGGAACTGTGTGCACATGCGTGCCGGTGTGCATGGCCCTGTGTGCACATGTGTGCTGGTGTGCACGACCCTGTGTGCACACGTGTGCCGGTGTGCACGGCTCTGTGTTTTCTGGTGTGCACATATCTGTGTGTATGTGTGCTGGTTTCCACAGCTCTGTGTGCACGTGTGCTGGTTTGCACAGTTGTCTGTGTACACGTGTGCTGGTGTGCACAGCACTGTGCACATGGATGTGCTCGTGTGCACGGCTGTGTGTGCAACACAGGCATGCTGAGGTGCACGGTACTCTGCACACAGGTGTGCTGATGTGCACGGCACTGTGTGCACATGGGTGTGCTGGCGTGTGTGGCGCTGCGTGCGCATGCGTGCTGGTGTGCACGGCTCTGTGTGCACGTGTCTTCTGGTGTGCACAGATCTGTGTGTACATGTGCTGGTTTGCACAGCTCTGTGTGCACACATGTGCTGGTGTGCACGGCGCTGTGCACATGATATGTCGGTCTGCACAAGCTCTTTGTGCATGTGTGTTGTGTGCACAGCTCTGTGCACGTGTGCGTTCCTGTGCATGGCTCTGTGCATGCGTGTGTCAGTCTGCACGTCTACTGATGTGCATGGCACTGTGCATATGTGTGTGCTGGTGTGTGCAGCTCTGTGCACACATCTGTCTTGGTGTGCACAGGCTCTCTGTGTGCAAGTGAGTCTGTGTGCACAGCTCTCTGCATGTGGGCACGTCTGGGTGCGCACAGGCTCTGCAAGCGTGAGTGGGTCTCTGTGTGCATGGGGGCACACGTGTTGGTGTGTGAAGGCTCTGCGTGTGCAAGCAGGTCTCATGCATGCGTGCATTGGTGTAGGCTCTGCACATATGAGCGTGCATGTGTGCACAGCTGTACATGCACGTGGGCATGCATGTGCTGGTGTGCACAAATCCTGTGCGTGCAAGTGTGTTGCTGTGTGTACAGAGCCTTACGTGCAGGTGTGCACACGCGTATCGGTGTGCACAGGCTCTGTGTGTGTGCCCCTGTGCACGGGAGCATGTGTGTGTTGGTGTGCACAGGCTTGTTTGTTGGTGTGCACAGGCTCTGCGTGTGCAAGCAGATCTCATGCGCCTGGGCAGGGGTGTGCTGCTGTGCACAGATACCACGTGCACAAGCGTGTCTGTGTGCAGAGCCTTATGTGCAGGTGTGCACACATGTGTTGGTGTGCACAGCCTCTGTGTGCACGTGTGTGCTCATCTTCACAGATTCTGTGTGTGCAAATGCACCTATGCACGTACACAGCTCTGCGTGCATGGGGGCGTGTGTGTGTGTGCAAGCTGACAGGTACCGGTGTGCACGCTGGCCTTGTGCAGGCAAGCAGGTACCTGCGTGCGTGTGCAGCTGCGTGCACCGGCTCTACATGCGTGTCCCCGTGTGCACACACAGGCTGGGCATGCTCAGGGACATGGCTGTGGATACACAACTCCGTGCATCTGACTGCTGTCCCGCCTGGGGAACACAGAGCAGCACGTGTGTGCGTGTGCGTGTGTGTGCGCGTGCATGTGTGCCACTACTGAGCTCTGCTGGCTGGAGTAAACCCAGGGCTGTGTGTGCGCACGGTTCTCGTGGCCAAATAAGACGCCCGGGGATGGGGCAGGTGAGCGTCCCCTCTCCTGTCCCCAACTCCACCGTGTTGTGCTGATCCCGTGGGGCTGCCGGTGGGGCTGCCATCGTCGTCATCGTCCCCACGGTGCCCTCCTGGCCACCACAGCTCTGGCTCTGGCCCCATCTCTCCCGGCTTGCTGTGGCTGGAGCAGGCAGGCACGGACAGGGCTGCCTGCCCGTCCCCGGGGCTCCCTTGCAGAGATGGTGAGAGCCCAGCGAAGGGGACGAGGACGGCTCAGACCCACCCGCCATCACTCCGGGATGGTGTTGGGCTGCAGCTCGGCACATGCTCACCTTGGCAAAGAGACGTCCCAGCATGTATATGCCCTGGCACCAACGCCGGCACGCACGTGCGGGCATGCCCCGACAGGCGCACCACCACCACCGCACATGGCGTCTGTGGTGGCTGCTGCCGTGCTCGCTGTCTCTGTGCCAGGGCTGAAGGACCCAGTTCTGATTGCACTTGTCCCGAAATAAAGCTCTATTTTTGTTGTACTCCACCCTCGGCTCCCAGGCTGATCTCCTACCTGAAGCGCACGCCGGCATCATGGCAGGAAGGGAGGAACCACCCAGTGTAGGGATGGGAAACTGAGGCACAGAAATGCCTCAGGAAGCCCCAGCTCCCTGGGGGAAGCTGGGACCCCTGTGCCCACCACGGCCAGCGTCTCCATGCTCCAGTGCAGAGACAGCCGCGGTTTAGCAGCCCCAGGGCTGGTGCTGGGACCCTCGCACAGGACACGGGAGGGACGCGGTGATGGGGAGAGGAGTCACCGGCTGCATGTGTCCAGAGAAGGACCAGTCCTGCTGGGAGCTGGCATTGGTCACCTGCAGCGTGGCTTCGCCCTGCCCCGGGGCAGTGTGACCTGGCCAGCACCCCGTGTCCTGGCGTCACCCATCCGGTCCCTCTCCAGCCCTGTGACTCACGTCACCCTGCAAGCACAACCTGCTCGCCCTGGAAACTCCCTGCTCTCTCCCGCCCTTTCTCCCAAACAGCAATTTTCTTCCACTCACCAGGGTGGCGAGTTTTGATGCTGCTTCCAGAAGCGTCCTGGGACTGGCTCCTTCCCCAGCACACAGTGAAGGAAGAGCAGCTTGCCGGGCCGCCGCAGTGTGCCGGTGTGCCCACCGCCAGTGCCACCTTCACCAGCGTGCCCTAGGGCCGCAGCTGGAGCAGTGACCATCCTGCAAATGACTCAAAGGGCCCCGAGTTATCAGCAAGTGGCCCCTGCTCTGGCCAAGAGCGTGGCAGCCACAAGCCTGTTTGCTTTCTGGGCTCACATTTCAGAGGCGTTTCCGTAACAGGGAGGGTTGAAAGTAGTTTTGGTTTTCTGGTTCTTTTCAAAAGGCAAGTCCCAGTGCGTCCCCAGGGACGGGGCTGGGGGAAGCTCCCCTCCCAGGCGTTCCCAGGACCTCCCACCCACCCTGTCCCCTGCCAGGGGACGGGAGGAGCGGGAGTGGCAAACCAGCCCGCCTGCGGTTTCACTGGGCTGAGGAGCCCTTCCCCGGGGAACGCCCGGCCGTCCTGGCCCCCTGACTCATTTGCTGGCACCGGGGTCCACCTGGATCCTGCCTGCATCTGCGGCTTTGCCTTGTCCGCCCTGGTTTCAGTGCTTTGTGCTGCTGGCCCCATGCTCTGCTGCTCCAGAGAGCGCAGCCAGCTGCTGCCGGGGGTCCCTGTGCAGGCGGGTGGCTGGAGCCGGGCTGGGCATGGGGGTCCTGTGGCAGCATTTGTGCTGGGGCTGGGGGCTTTGATGCTGCCCATGAAGGGCCTGCCAGCAGTGGTCGGGCTGGCCTGGCATGGTGGCCGTTTCTCCAGGTATTTCAGGCCGTGATCTCAGCCCAGTGGCATCCCTCCGCTCTGGCTGCGGGAAGGATTGGGTTTCCCATGGGCATGGTGGCAGCTGCCCATGTGGCGGGTCTGACGCTGCTTCGGCTAAGCCAGATGAAGGAAAGGCATCACAGCCCCGGCTGCTTCGCAGGTTGGGGAGCAGACTGGGACACCTCTGCCCCAAGGCAGACATCTTTTTGGAGAGCAGACCCTGTGGCACCAGGCAGGACAAGCCCCAGCAGGAGCAGTGAAGGATGGAGGCAGCCCTCTCACAGGCGTGTGTCCCCATGCCTCGGCCTCCTGGCAGGCAGCGGCTTCCCGGTCCCTGCTGGGGTCTGGTTACCCTCCCCAGCCCTGGCTCCCTGGGTCCGGTTTTGGCATGGTGAGGGTACTGGGGTGGATTATTGCCCTGGGCTAAGGGCTACGAATCCTCCTCCGAAGCCCCTGCAGCTCTTGTGCCCCCAAATGTGGGGGCCTTCCTTTGCCCATGCATCTCTCCACAGCCCCTGTCAAGCACCCTCTGGGTTTTCACCTCTTTTTAAACAACACCCAACCACAGGCAGGCTGGGGCACCCCCATGCTGGGGCTCATTAACCCCTGAGATGGCACTGCCCGGGGTTAACCACGTAGCAGGCACCCAGCACACGCTGCCTGAGCTTCTCACACAGGCGCTGCCGTTGGGTTTCTTTGCTCCCTATCCTGAAATGCACGGAGGGGACGGGAGATGCAAGGAAGGGTGACAGCTCTGAAGCCAGTGAGTGGCAGCAGCAGGATGGGTGGCACCTCCACGTGCTTGGTCCCACCATGCTGGAGGTGCTGGCTGGCAAGGAGCTCCAGGTGAAGTGTGAAAGTCTGAGGTGGGAGAAATAAATGTGTGTCTGATGGGATAGCGTTGTTATGAGATCTGGCCGGACACTTTCTTCTGGATCTGCTGTTAAACTGCTGCTGAAATCTTCCTCTGAGGGATGGAGCGTGCTGGGGACTGAGCTGTGAGCTGCTGCCCTTGGCGGAGGAGCAGCGTGGCTCCATGCAGGGGAGGGGAGATTCAGGGTGGCTTTACTGCACGCCGGCCGGGTGCCTGGGAGCACATGGTGGAAATATTCTGTGTTTCAGGACAGGGGATTAACTGCTGCTCGCGGGGCTGTCGGGAGGCTTACTGCATTAGCACAGAGGGACGTGGGATCTGCAGCTGGGAGGCGGCAAGGACAAACACTTGCTAAGCTGGGAGCCTAAGCCAGTAAATGATATCCTTCCCTCAAATGCCAGGCTGTGGTCTTAAACCTACCACACCACAGTCCTCAAACGGTGTCAGGGACCATCCTGGCTCTGGAGCTGAAATTATGGCAAAGCCTTTTTTAGGGTGAACATTGAGAAAAATGCATTCTCCCTGGCAGGACAGCCCGGCCCAAGGATAGATGACATGAGGAGCGCAATGTCCAGCAGTGGCGAGCAACATCTGAGGATGCTTGAAGCAGCCCAAGCCTGGTTGGAGGCCAGGAGATGGACAGGACGACCCTTCAGACTCCCTTCCAGCCCCATGTTCTCTGCCTCAGCACCCAAAAAAACCCTCCAGAATTTGCTCGTAACCATTTTGGGGCAGGCTGGCTTTACTGGTGACTTTATTGCTCTCTCTCTACGGCACGGGCTCACTGCTCTGCTCTGAGAAGGCTGTTGACTGCCTGTAGCTGAGTTTCTAAAAGATGAAATCACATGACCTTCAAGACATTTTTAAAGTAATATACTTTGTTTTTATAATATAACTTTACATCATAATGTAGGGGTCCAAGATACAAACGTTTAAGGTGGTTATAATAGCATGCTAATTACTGTATGCATAACATAAGACCACTATATAAAAACTTAGGTGATCCACAGACTGTTGTGAAACACAGATGGTGCCTTAGCGGCACCCTACGCCAGAACGAGAGCTGGGTTCAGTGGGTTTGGGTGTCAGGTGCAGGTGCCTCACCTGGGTTCTGATGGCTGTGAAGAAAGAGGTGTTCAACAAAGAGCTGTCAGCAGCATCACCACCCCCCTTCCTCCCACTTGAGAGCTGCGTTCAAACTGAGATGCTCGCCCTTGATGCCTGCAGCCATGCCCGCGCTTGGCTGTGTAGCCTGTTGAGCTGGATCTGGACTCCCACCCAACTTCCCAGCTTGGCCTTGGACCTGTCTCATCACCATGGACTTGCCAGGCAGTCAGGACTCTCAATTCAATGAGCCTCCATCCGCCTCCAGATACGCAAAGCCCTGGTCTCCCCTCCCTTGGAGAGCAGGTGCCTGTGCCTGGGAGCCAGCCAGTGGTGCCCTCCACAGCTGGCACGCCAGAGCCAGACATCTGCAGGACCTTATAGGGCTTGTGGCACCATTGTTCTCCGTAGGGAAAGCGGTGTTTGACTGCAAAGCTGGAGTAGAGAGGGGTGTGGATGATTCTACAGTCACCAGCTGCACCCTTGTCTGGTCAGAGATCCAGTCTGAGAAACACCAAGGCCCCAGGTGGTCACACAGCACACAGGGCTCCTCCAAGGTCTGCCATGTCTCTGATGCTCTCTGTGATACCCATGCACCCAACCAGCTTGTTCTGCCCCTTTCCTTTAAAGTTTCTGTTTTCCAAGAGGAACTTCTTGCATGTCCATGAGGAGTTGGGTCTTTGCTCTGCTTCTAGAAGGTGCCTTGGGAGAAAAGCAATGCACTCAGAGGAAGGCAAGGTTCTTTGTCACCCCCCCAGCTACCACTTGAGCTGCTTTGAGACCTACACAGAGCTGGTTTGCCAGGTTGCTCTTTGTGGGTGTGGAGGAGCACTCCCAAAGCGCCATTGGTAGGATATACAATCATAGAGTCATTTAGGTTGCAAAAGACCCTTAAGATCATCAAGTCCAACTGTTAATCCAGCACTGCCAAGTCCACCACTAAACCATGTCCCTGAGCACCACATCCACACGTCTTTTAAATACCTTCAGCAACGGTGACCCAACCACTTCCCTGGACAGCCTGTTCCAGTGCTTGATGACCCTTTTGGTGAAGAAATTATTCCTAATATCCAATCTAAACTTCTCCTGGTGCAACTTGAGGCCATTTAGTCTCGTCCTATCACTTGTTACTTAGGAAAAGAGTCTGACACCCACCTCATTACAACCCCTCCCACCAACCAGGGCTGCGGGACCCCCTCATGCTGACCCAGGGGCTGTGGGACCCCTCACACACACATGCCAGCCTGGGGCCCCCTACTCTCATCCAAAACAGGTCTGTTACTGCCACTCAAGACAGAGTTGCTGAAGCTGAAAACGTCATGCTGTGATAAACCAGAATTAATACGTGGTTTGCTGCTGAGCGATGCCCAAGTGTGCCCAGATCAGGCTTCTAGTTTATAACGACATGACGACCTCACCGCAATGATTCATACTGACAGCAGGTTCCTCTTATTGCTCCCACCTTGACCTCCCAGCGCACCGGGATGGGAATAGCTCAAAGGTGGCACCTAGGAAGATTTCGCACATATAGGAGCAAATGGGGTTCTTTCCAAGCAGCTCACCCAAATAACCGTGCATTGCCCAAGGGAGGCCAAGGCACCTTCTGAAAAAGGTTTGGGGAAATCAGACGGGGCAAGAGAAAGGGTCAGATGGTGGAAAGCAGGACATCTTTGGGTGTCTCCCAACTGAGGATGCTGGAGTCTGCGCTCTTCCTGCCCTCTCTGGAATACAGCAGATGACTGGACTTAGGGTTGCTGTCTCAAAACCCAAAGTCATATCTCAGTTAGGAAAAACAAACGTTGGTAACACTCCAAATATCCTGACTCACAGCTAGTTTCTGTCCTGTATTATAAGCACAGTTTGTGCTGGAATAAAACAACACTCTCTAAACATGTGATGGTTTCAGAGTTGCTGTCAGGACCCCAATACAAATGACGTGTGAAAATTATCTGCATAGCTTAAACCATGTTGATTTTATTTATAGTAAACGCCACTACTCGCTGTTGTATCGCTAATCCCCCATACTTTCAGTGGCAGAAACTTCATGCTCCAACCTCCTTAGATGAGAAGAGTTTGTTTTCAATACTTTGGCATGTATCTGGAAGAACTGCCATTAGCTTTCCCTTGGTTTCTTGCCAAAAGATCATAAGAGCTCATTAGTACTCAGAGCAGCAGCATTACTCTTACTTCATTTTCATAAACATTGGGTATCATCCCTGACGGAGAGCTGATCACTCGGAGCCTGTTGACGCCGAAGAGTTTGTACTCATAGTGGATGACCTGGTGCCAGAAGTTGTTGTTGGGTCGTACGATGGGACGGCAGGACTCAACCCAGGCAGGGACACCCACCAGGGACATGGAGCAGTGCTTCTAGGCCAAGCAGATGGTGGGTACCTGCTCACCCCGGCAGTGCAGTGCAGCAGCGTCAGGTCCCTGCACGTCCCCACGCTGTGGATCTTAGCTGCTATGGAGTCGAAGCAGCTGGAGATGTGAGCGGCAGGGGCATCCATCACAGGGACATGGAGGTACTCGACGTCAGGACAGAGGGTGTTCACCACCTCCAGGAAGACGTTGATGATGGTGCTGATGCAGTGGGGAAGAGCAGGAGGTGGCTGTTGGTGGCCATTGTGTCACCAAGGTAGAGGTTAGATGTGATCCGGGGTGCTGGGGCAGGGCCGGGAGGGCTCCCAGAGCTGCCGCCATTGGGGTGCGCTGGTTGTGCCTAGAAATACATGTAGAAATACACGCAGCCCTGTGCCCCACCGTGTCCCGGCCTGCCAGGCCCCACTGCCCGGTAGTCCCGGGGAGCGATGGCAGGGCTGGGGTGGGCCCCCCATGGCAACCACCGCTGTGCGCACAACAGTGGGGGGCAGCGGGGCCATGGAGGAGCAGGGTGGCATGCAGCCTCGCATCACCTTCTTCCCACCGCCCCAGAGCCGGCAGCTCAGCAGGCCCCGGTGTGGGGTTGGGGGGCCCTCACACCGGCTGGGGCTGGGGGACCCCACACACTGTCCTGGGGCGCTGGGACCCTCACACTGGCTGGGGCTGGGGGACTCCTCACACTGTTCTGGGGCTGTGGGACCTCTTACATGGGCTGGGGCTGTGGGAACAGGTCAGTGGGGTATGGCTCGGCACCCCTCTGCACCCCGCTCTGTGTGACACGAAGCCCCGTCTCACCCTAAGCAGCTCTGCAGACTTGGACATCGACCTGGACAGCCATTTGCCTGACAGCTCCCTGCCCAGCTCCACCAGCCGTGCCAGCCGCCATGTCCTGCTGCTCCTGGAGAAGAAGGTGGTGGCCTCCACTCCCCCTCACCCCTCCAGGCTCTGCTGGCGCTGCCCCCTGGGACAGGGTTCATGGCCCGCTCTGGCACAAGGGGAAGGTTTGGCTGCCAGTGGATGTGTCTTGGAAAGGCAGAGGGAGATTCCCCCTCCTCTGAAGAGGTCGGCAGCAGGAGCCGCAGGTGACACAAGGCTGGAGGAATGTCTTGTGCAAACACTTGGGTCTCTGTTCCTTAGAGTCCTTAAACCATCGCTTAAGTCCTCAGCCCTTAGGTCTTCAGCCCACTGGATCAGGATGTGGGTGCCAAGGCTGTCTCCGGGGGAGTGGGAAGAAAATGGTCAGGGGAGGCAGCTATCGGTTCTTGGGCCACCTTCGATGGAATGGTTGCACCTCCATCCTGACCTCAGGACACAGTAGCCATATCCTATCTGCAAGTCAGCTGTGTTTTGGAATGATAAGGCATCATTGGCCTGGACTTAGATGTCGTTCCTACGATATCTAGGGAGACCAAGGGCAAATTATCAGAAATGGGTGAAGCGCTGACGTGTGACCTCCCAGCAGCGGGGACCAGGCAAAGGTTTTGCAACATTTAGCACCCCTTTAGTGCTTCTCACTTTGAGCCCAGCAGTAACAGGTTCATTAGCAATAGCAGGTGAGATAGTCCCTCCTGTGGGAATGTGCGGAATGCCAGGTTGAGTCTATAAGCTCAGAACTGGGATTTGGGGTGGCATTAGAAACACCCGGGCCTTCACACACTGAGTAGTTCCCTTCAGCTCTTCTCTCTGCTCCTGGGTAGCCAGACTTTTTGTCCTTAGTACCCAGCCAGCACCACCTGAATCCTCTCCCCTCACCTTACTGTATATATCCCAAGGAACTTTGCCATCTTGCTTTGGTCAGAAACCCCAAGCATCACAATTTCAGCAGTTTTTCAGTTTAGATCAAAGTTTTATAACATGGGGCTGCAAAGTCCACCCTCTTGACTGTTTCTGGCAGAACAGTAGGGTCCTGCTGGGGTCTGGCTCTGCGTGTGAGTCTGCTTAGGCAATAACTGTGCAGCCCTGTAGCAGTTATTAGTGAGAACAGGGAAAGAAGCTTACCTGGTGGCACCTCTCAGGTGAGGTTTGCTCAAATAAGAAAGTCTAATACAGAAACTAATGTCTGATGGTTTCAATTCCCAGTGTCTCTTGCTAAAATCTGTACTTGAGACATGAACTAGTGACACTAACAGGTCCTGACTGCAGGTTTCTTTCTGCTGTCATGGGGATGAGGCATCTTTTCCTCGGTTTGGCGTTCCCTAATCCCTGAACTCCATGGAACGACGGTAACCTCTAGGTAGCTGTGTGCTGAGGAGATCCGCCTGGCCTGGAGACAGTTATGGTATGCGAGTTGCAAGCCCTCGGGGCAGCGCAGCTGCCGTGAGAATTAGCTCTAGGCTACAACCAAGCCCTAAGCTGTGCTGTGGTGCCGGGTTTGGTCCCGCAGTGCGGGTGTGCCCTGGGTTTGTGCCACACACACGGACAGGTTTCTGTTCACAGTCAAGAGACCCAGGGGGGTGCAAACCCCTTACGGCTGGGGAAACTGCATGCCTGCAAGCATGGAAGCCCGTGCTACACCTGTGGTGTGTGGGTGACATGAAGATTGTTAGCTTGCCCAGTAAATTCCTGTCAAGAGCCCGCTGAAACCAGATGACCACATTGTCGTTGGTTGGTTTTATAATGCGGGCTTTTTTTTATCGGTGTGATGGATTGGGTCTGAGATGCAAGGATGCAAGACAGTGTGACTACTGTCCTCCAGACCTGCTTCTTACAGTGGTGTAAAATGAATTATCGTCAAGGAGGCAGGATGATTTGAGTAATCTTTTTCAGACCAATATTTAGAGTGATACTTACGAATTTTGGAGCTTCTTTGCTTGGAGGTCACCTTGACCATAGTGAGGGATGTGTCAGGATGTCTCTCTTCCTGAAGACAAGCATCACTTTGTAATTCTTTATTTCATGGCTATAAGGTCTTACTTTTGCTTTCGTAAAGCTAAAACACTTTGAAGAGGCCAAAAAGAAGACCGAACGTTTCCACAAACATTTAAAGCAGCAGTTTTTGAAAGAACAGGAGAGAAAGATGGCACGGTGGAAGAAGGCATCCGAAAGGTTTGAAAAATCACTGGAAGTGTTCAGTCGCAAAAGTGGGAAGTCGTCCGTCCCTTCCGCCGGTGGTTTGTCTGCGAGTGAAGGGACGCCCTTGGAACGCAGCTGCTACTGACAGAGAGGGGACCAAGAGCCACATCTAGAGAGCTCCTCCTGCAGGCTGTCCCAGGGCTCCGGCCCATGTCTGGCCAACGTACTCGAATTTTCAGTTTGTCCTTTTAGGAAGCTTGGTCCTGTTACAGCAATAAACCAGCACGATCTCTTACTCTTTCTCATATTGCTGCCCAATTTACCTTTTAAATCGATGGGGCTGCTGTGGTTAGAGGGCCATGGGCTGGGGACAATTCAGGGAGCAGTGTGGCAGCCGCAGGAGTAAAACACCTCTTCAAAGGACTGCTTTCCTTTAAGGGAACAGAAAAGTGATGTGAAAGGGATAGATTTTTTTCTTGGCTTGTGCCAAGAGAGGATCCAAACAACATGTTTCACAGCTAGTTGGATTTCCAGAAATGTTATCAGAGGTTCAGGGAGGGTAAATTAATCCATTGCTGGGGAAAAAGAAGAAGGATGGGTGACTTAAGAAGCTTGGAGAAAAAAAAAAACAAGGAATGGAGTATTGAAGGAGAGTGCCTCGAGACACTGAAGAAGTGGATAAGTGTCAGCAGCAGATGGAGAAGGTGGTTGTAGGCAAATAGAACTGATCAACTTTCTTCTTCCCTTTTCCCAAACCAGAGACATTCAGAGTATCCGTTGGGTCCCCCCATTAGGATGGGATACAGCTTATCGCGGGAGTGCAGAGCTGGAGAGGTGGACGTCACCCACTCTGGCCTCTGCGGTGCTGTAGCATTAAGTATATTTTGACTATCCTTGAAAAATGTTCATCTAACTTGTTTTTAAAAAACTTTCAGTAAAGGAAATGCTACAGTTTCTCAAGGTGGCCTGGTTTTTCAGCCAGCATTGCAATGTTGGGATTTTCATAACATAAACCTTTTTTGCTTGAAATGAAGCTGATCATTTTTTATGTTTCCCAATGGCCTTGAGGGAATAATTGGATGTTGGAAGATTGCTGTCACATCCTCACTCAGTTTTTACTTCACTGGATTAAAAAATGCTCAGTACTTTCAAGCTGTCCCCCTCTGTTGGGATTTCTAAAGAGAATTTTCATGACCAATGCAAAAGGCGTACCTCAGACATCAGGACAGCATGCCTGGCAAGTTACACTCCAGTGCTCAAAAATCTGGCGGCATCAGGCCTTGACGGTGAACCACTGCTTCTCAGTTTACTGTAAGACTATTTTTTTAAAGAAACAACAAACTTTTCCCTAGCCTCTGGCTCTTGAAAATAGTAAATAATTCCATTTCTTCTCCCCTAGAGCTTTTCCAATAATTCAGCCAGACTCAGACACCTGGCAACGTTATACATGATGATAACTAAAAATCTTAGACTGGAAGGTGCCTGGCAAGCCCGACTTTAGGGGCAGTGCTTTCCATCTCTGGGACATCCTGGCAATAACAGGCCACCTGCTATGGCCTTGCCTTAAGAGGGCTTGCAGCTAGCTAAAGCCATCCTCTCAAACCGTCTCCAGAGGATGCTTCATAGACATGATTCAGGTGCTGAAAGGTTCTAGAAACATTGAATAGAAAATCAGTGTTTGGTACCTGAATTGGCTTCAAACCACAGATCTACAAAGTCTTGTTTTTCCCGAGTTTTTAAGGCATCTTCTTGTTGTCTTTCCTTCTCACACCTGTGATAAATTTGCCCTGCGTACTGTCCTGTCCAACAGACAGAAGGAAGCTTCTTTGTGAAAGGTGAATGGAGTTAAATCCAGTTGGCGACCAGTCACGAGTGGTGTTCCCCAGGGCTCAGTGTTGGGGCCAGTTCTGTTTAATACCTTTATCAATGATCTGGATGAGGGGATCGAGTGCACCCTCAGTAAGTTTGCAGATGACACCAA